TAAAAGATCAAAAGATAAATCAAACCAAATACTTAAAAAATGCATGAACAAAAACAAAAATAACTTACCAAAGAAGCACCATGGCACGCCATTCACGCTATCGTCATAGCAACATCGYCCACCATGCCTCCTTTCACACTGGTCCTTATTTATTCCTACCCATCCACAATCAGCTCGATCTTTAGGGCTGATAATATCCTTAGAGCACATAAGTTGTCTTTTAACGCCTGTACAAGACGAGAATCAAAAAAGTGTGTTGCAATATTTAAATATCAAGTAAAATCGTGATGACAGCCAGGACAGGAAGTAGTAAGAATTGAGTTCGGTCTAAATGTAATTGCATGAGAAACAGTATAGTTTCATATATCAAATTGAGCTGATTCTCGCTGTATATGAGGCTACTTATGCAGCTTCAAAAAGACCCCTTCATAGTTCCCTTCGCCATCTTGAAAGGTAGCCGTGCCTTTGCATCGAAGCAAGACGAACGGTGAGCTTGCAATGATAGAGACCTTTTTTAACACCTTGGACAATTATTCACRTGTCTTTATCATTGCAAGCTCACCGTTCGTCTTGCTTCTATGCAAAGGCACGGCTACCTTTCAAGATGGCGCATGGAACTGTGAAGGGGACTATTGAAAGACTCAGAAAAAATCTGCGTCTTAACTTGAATTCAGTTTTAATGGACAAAAATACTCTATTGTATGTGTGCTTCCTGTCATGGCTGACATCACGTGATGGAAGAACCCTGCCCACTAATGTGCTATCAACCTTTACAGATTAAACATTTAGATTTCAATGTATAGCCTTGTAAAGACATTCAAGATATGCATTTACTTGATGGATGCCAAGCAATACAGTCATTTGCATCTAAGTAATAACACATGAAACCAAAACATGTTTTAATTTGTTGCCAAAGCATATTAGTTAGTCAACCGGCATGTTTTGCGCGCGGCTCTTTTGTAATCACATCGCGGCTGCCTGATTTCTGATATTTTTATTTAATGTACCGTAGAAACACCAAGGTGAGTTTTGCACACTTTYATCCCAGCAGCAAAGTCCTAGTTTGAAGTTATTGTCCAAACATTGCTCTTTCTTTATCCCGTACCATCCACAGTCATGGCGCCCGTTTGAAGCTGCAGAACAGTTTTTTGCCTGGTCGGTTTCACCTGCAGTATGAATATTTATGAGGTAGTGCACATAGTGCATTGTTGTCTAGGTTGGGTACTACTATCTTTTGTTCATAATGCCTTATTATATGGTGATGTTTGTACCCGATCTAGAACACAATGCAGCATTTATGAAATGTGATTTTGTCACTCGGTAAAGATCTATATGTTAAGTGTATGCTACATCGAGTGTATAAGCAGATTAAAAAATCTGCCTCAGTTGCAGCATGTTCATAGACACTTTGCAGCACGTCGGAGTGCAGCTCAATTTGGAGGACATAACAATAGGCTTGCATTGTCTGCATTGCAATGACTGGTTGTTTCATGGTTCGATCTGTGAGTTARCCATGCCCTGACTTAGATCTGCCCAGAGGTTCTTTCAAGGCTTGATAAGTTTGAAGGCTTAACAAAATTGAAAGTAATAATAGTAAAATAAGGTATAGAATAAACACGTACCGTGAAAACAGACGGGGACGCCTGGCACGCTATCGTCGTAGCAACAACGACCCTTGTTGAAAGTCGAGTTTTCACACAACTCCTTTGATATGCCGAGCCAGCCACAATCTAGACGCTCTTGTGGTTTGATAACTTCTTTTGAGCAAGTTTTCTCCATATGCACACCTGTGAAGTATTAAAACATTCTCATGAGTTGAAGAAGAATTTAGTATGTATTCTACTTTATTATATAGATATCGATGAAATATCAGGTTTTCTCTAGTGTCGAAAACTTGATATCCCAGTAGAATATATTCGCTGCCCTCACTCGTGAGATATCAATTGAACACTCGAAGATAAAATTCGTATCTCCGCGCGTCCATGTAATATCCTCTATGCATTCATCGTGAAAAGTGTATATAGAGTTTCATAACTCAATTTTGTTACATGCTATTGGTTTTACAGGGCCTTCTTGAAAATAACTATAGTGAAAAAGCATCCTGCTTAAATATTATTGTAAAATAGATTCCCATGAGAATTCCAATACAGTTATTTCCATTACATTATTATATTTCCGACTGCAGTGTGTTTTTCTAAAATGACTTTCGGTTTCAGCTTCTTCGTTCTATGTTTTAAACCCGGACAATGATTTATCAATACAATGGTTTGAAGTCGAGATTGAACTTGATTATTTTGCTCATCAAGTTCAACCTCGACTTGAAACCATTGTTTCGTGGCCAGTC